AATCCGAGCAATTTGTGCACCCGTATATACGTACTAAACTATATATCGGGCTGACAGGTGTGCCGGGGGCGCTCTTTAACTAAAACCGAAAGCGCCAAAACAAATCTCGCGCGCGAAACCCTTGGCATTAATCCGGTAAAGTACGAGCCATTAGCTTCAAAAGGGGCTTTACAATTTTTGTCGGAGGTATACAGTCTCGTTCCCGACGGTATTTCACCGCACGGCCGACCGTATATTTTTCTTGTTATTGCTGCTCTCGAATTCCATCTCGTATGCGCGCGTTCTCTCCCGTTGAAAAGCATATTCAAATGTATCGCTCTCTTTCCGTCTATTGATTCATTGCGCGTTTAATATGACTCTAATTGAAAGATCAAATTGTTCGTAATGGCTCGTTAAATTACTTCGTTTTATTTTAAAGCGAATGTATTTCGTGTTGTATAAAATTTTCAAAAATTCCTGCCGAGAATTCTTTAAATTATTTATCTTGGATTTGATATTTTAAACGTTAAATTTCTAAAATTCGGATTTATTGTAAAATGGAGCAGCATAAAGTAAAACGCAATTGAATTCCACAGTTGCAATTTAACTACAAAGAGCAAAATTTTGAAGAAGAGAAAGAAACGAATAGAATCTTGAAAGATATTACATTTGTTTCGCCAAATTCTGCACGGTGAATAAGTTTTTTATGCGAAAATCGCATTTTGGTCACATGCAATCTCACAACTGGCACCATTCTTTGTGTAAAACAATTGATCAAATTTGTCGGACAACAAAACTTTTGTCACACTTCAATATTTTGTGGGCAAAAAGTTTTGCGACTTTTGCTAATGGAGCCTCTTATAATTCGATTAATGTTGAGCAAAAATATCGTCATGAAAAATTAAAAAAATTCGCATCGAAATCACCCTCTCATTGCTTACATTTTAACGATGTCTTTCGTTTCTCGACATCAGTAAAAAAAAAAAGAAAGAAAACGCGTTTCACGAGTTTCGTTATCTTCGTTCTGAGAGAAATGGAAACGTCGAGCTACGTTGCCGGAACTCGCTTGCTGCTGATGCCTTTCAGCGACAATCGACTCACTGAACTGGTAAAAATTTTATATTCACACTTAAATAGCGCCTCAATCTTGGACGTATCTGTATATATATAATATAGCGCGCGCATTTATTCTATTCGCTTCAGCCTCGAGTTCTTTTTGCTTGCCACGTCGCCCGCGTTGGGTAAAGCCGCGCGGAGCGACAAAAGTTATCAGACTTGAAGACTTTACCCGAGATACGTTGGATTTGCGTTCCACTAAATAGAGGATTTTCGATGGTATGCAGGCGGAACAATGGCGCATGTAAGAACTGACTAGCAGCCATTCCGAAACGCGACGAGCATCTCGGGAATGCACGCGACAAGTGGTATGAGAAGCGAACGCGCGCCATGTTATATATGTTGTTATGAATAAATTTCACGTATGGAGAAACAACCACTGACAGTCGCACATGGATCGAGAATGGAAATCGTCGTCGATTTTGCCAACTTTGACGATAGCACGTTTTCGCACGTACAATTTACAAAGCGTCCTGAGATTTAAATTTTCAAGTGAGCAAAGACTATTAATAATTATCGGAAAATTAGCGAATGTTGTATTGGATTTTTAAAACCTCATTTGCTCTAGGGAATCCTTAGAGAAGCTTAAAATTTAATTGCAGTATTAAATCATGTAGAGTATGTAATAATCTGCTCTCTCTTTTATTATTTAAAATCTCTGAATCGCTTCTTCTTTACTTTAATTGCTTGTTAATCGTCTGTTATTTAATTAGCGATGCTTATCGTGCTATTCGCGTGCGCTAGTTGGAAAATTCTTTCGTGCCAAGTTGCATAACGATGGAAGCGGATTCGTCGCCATAGGAGATGAAATAACCGGAACGTGCGCAAGCCGCGTAATGAATTTCAATTACGTCCCGGCGCAATAATTTGCTTATGCGAAGCACCGTAATTTCGTCTATGCCCGAATGCGAGTTCTCCAAAGTCGCGACATTTGTACGCCGTTGCGCGTCGCCGTTTGTTCTACGTGACTCCGCGCGTAAATGCGCGCTCGCGCGACATAAACCGCGCGTGGAAGACGCGCAACGTCAATCGTCGAGGCGAGTTAACCCCGATTAGCCCGCACGAGTCTCCTCTCGAGTCGAAGCCAATAAAACTCTTCCCTCGACAAATCACTCGTCGAAGTGCCTCAATTACGACGAGAAGCAACTTTTTCTTTCCTCTTCCCTTTTTCTCTCTCTCCTTTTTTTTTTCTTTCGCGGGACATCAAACCGTGACGTCAATAAAGCGGAGCGAATGAATCATGCATGAGACAAGGAAATAGATTCCCGGATGTTCCTTCCGTTTCGCGCGCGCGGCAACGCACGCCCGCATTAATATTCCTGTTGCGCGAATTCTCAGAAGACTCGGGCCTTGTACAAGGCCATAAAGCCATAAAAGGATTGAAATCGGTATAATTTTCAACGTGTTCAATTTTCGATGTAGCCGAGGAAAAATATATCTCGGCGCGAGTAGAGGGAAACAGACTTTTATATACAAATCGATAAAGAGAGAAAGAGAGAGAGAGAGAGAGAGACTTGATTAATTCCTCAATTAAACTCGTTGTTGATAAATCGTTCTTTCATCACTATTACTTGACCCTTGGTGGAAATTAACTCTCGACTCTTTCACGACGCGTCGTGAATGTCCGAGCGAGTCGAAGCTAATAAAAGCACGCAAGGGCGATGCAAAGATTATCGCGTACGAAGATTAGGGCTCGACGAAAGCGCGAGTTTTCCATCAAACTCGCGAAAAGCGCAAAGCAAGTTACGAGCCGGATATATCGAAAATACATTGCAAAGTATAAAGCCGCGGCTATAGCCCGGGCGGGGGCTTATGAATACTTTATAAGCATCGCTCTCTTATATTCGCCATCGTGTAGCTCTCCGACACCGTGATCCCGAGGCAATTTCTGCAGCAAACGGTTACGCCATGCGTAATATCGCGGCGACCTTGCGTCTCGCGTGCGCGACAGGCAGCGAAATGCAAATCGCGAGAGAGACGTCTTCCGACAACGAGGAGAGGAGAAATCGTTCGATCCTCTCGTTCGGTGCCGCGCGACAGCGACGAGGGGGACGAGGTTATTGAGGCTTTAAGCCGCCAGGTACTCCATTAGCGGCGACGCGCCAAGGAGTAGTTTGTCAAAGCGCGATACATTTGCATAATTGCCGCGCGCGCCGAATAATTATGCGCGTATCCATTAGATAATAAAGTCGAAGCAAAACTTGGCGAGCGACAACGATTTCCACTTGCGCGCGACAGGTGCAAACCAGTCGAGTGCTGCTTCAAATCTCTCCCTCTCTTCCTCTCTTTTCTCCACCTGTGCGTTACCTGCGCGCGGCCGAGTAATTTATAGTGGGCTCATCGGCATAATTTGCACGTGTATCTGCTAAATACGTCGCTGATACCGGAGCGAACCGTTAAATTCATAATCGTATTTATGCGCGGCGCTAAAGTATTTTACGCGTGCACATACCATCGTCTCGTCGTGAATGCTGCTAACGTGGGCGTGGATCAAAGACAAGCAATAACTCGCTACGTTCGGGACCGGGTCGTTTGTCAAGACGCGGCTCATTTGCATACTAATCATGCTCTCACGCCACGGGAGCACATCGTGAGAGCATCAAGCGAGCAGAGAAGTCGGTGGTAAATTTTCGACGATTATTAATATTGCGCGGGGCGCAACAGATTTGATATTTTATATTCACTTGCACATGCGTAGATTAATCTCTCTACGCGAGAGTCGTGATTTTCATCTGTCGCAGAATTTTCAAATACATCATGGCTCATGGTAATGCGTTCCCTGCACATTTGTCATTTTTCGCAATATTTCCTTCTTTATCACGCAACAACTAATTTGGCATATCAATACGTCTATTTTTGAGATTAACAGGCGCGGTGACTGATTTTTCTCGATGCTTTCGCGAAGCGCGACAAGCGAGCTCGCTTCATCAGCGTCGACGTGTCGAGATGCAGTTTGTCAAAGTCCGATATATTTGCATAATTCAACGAGCTGCCGGCGTACACTTACGAGAGTGCACGCCGGATAACGCGCTCAATTTATGATCATTTTTGCCGCGCCGAGAACGCGTCGATATCGGACGGGAAAGGAAAGGTAACTTCTCGACCTCACCTCGTTTCTTGGCGGAGGAATTCGTTATAAGATGATTGCCGCCGCGCGGCGGAAGTCGAAGATCGACCTCCCTCGGAAGGAGCCGGGGAAGGAGATCGTGTTTCCGCGAGGCGCACGATGCGTTTGCATAATTTACCAGCTGATGGACGCAGCTGGAGTATAAACTTTGCGCAACAATCTCAAAATTAAATTTGCAGCGACTTTTAGCACATTGCGGAGAACGGCACGCCGACGTCTAGGCAAATTTGTTACAAGTTTAAACGGTGCTTAAGAAATACAGTGGAGAGTGCACGCTCTTTGCCGCGATAATGCACGGGATGCTCGAATATGGACCGGCTTGTATGAGGGCGTTTGGTAATAAATATTTCATGTCTCGAAAGCCCCGATTACATTCCAATATATTTACAAATAGATTTTTATGTTTAGTATAATCACGTTGCGCGAGAAAAATCCATAATTTCTAATCGTTAGCTAAAAATACAAGCAAATAAGATATTTGCAGATGCCCTGATAGATTAAAGATTGTCAATGTTAATCTCGTGATTGATACTTAAACTTTCCGTCGTTACCATTAATCGTAGGTTTGGTTAAGTCTTGTCCGACTTTGCGAGAAATTCCAAGTGAATTAATAGCTTGAGGCGTCTCATAAGGTACGAAACAACAAGGAGGGCGAGGGCGAAGAATTTGCATGCCGAGCGTTTAACTTCTCGGCATCCGCACATTAGATAAACAGTAGCCTATCCGCAACGTACTGGCCTTGGGGCTGTCTTGACGCGTGGCTAATTGCGTTTTCCAGGTGCAGACTCTGGGACTTTGGAAAACCGACCAAGCTTCTCCTCTCGAGAGAAACTATAGCGAGAACGACAAATACTCCGTCCGAGAAGCAATCCCGTGTGCGATGTCGAGCCGTGCTACTTACAATTAGCGTGAGTAATGCGAATTTTCCAGCAAACGAATCTTTAATCGCGCAGCATTTCGGAAACGAAAAGTCGTCTCGATTGTCGCGACATTAAAAATTATTATTAAAATAATCGCAATAAGCATTCTCAGATGAACACGTATGTGCGTCTCTAACATTAAATTTCATTTGCCAAATTCGAAGATTAATACCGGCTGCACCTGCCGGCGGTGTGTGCGGGACGATCGATTATTTCGGCCCCGTAAATTCCGACCTTAAGCAGAACGCGCGCGCGAGGGAGAGTAACGCAGTTAATTTTGCGAATAGATTGCGCCCACGGTATATTCCGTAAATCCCGCACTTACTTCCTCGCATCTGCGTCAGATTACGCGGCGGAATATTAAAGCATCTCGCTTGGTTCCTCCGCTTCGCTAAGTCGACTTGACCGGTAAGCTCTGACGCGGAAATCAGGACGGATAGAAGAAGGAGAAGGGGAGGGGGGAGGGGGAAAGGGACGAGGGCGGCACGTTAACGACGACGAGAAACGACGGCTTGAATCTCGGCTGAGTTGGACGGCGATGGCCCTTTCGCGTTTCGTAAACATCGTAAACTGCGAATCATTGGAAGTGACAGGTAGACGGCCTGACTGTTCACGAAGAACTCCGACGTCGCGACGTTGATAGCCCTTAACTTTGCGCATGCTAATGCGACATTCAGCGTGGCGAAGAAGGGAGGGTGGTAAAGAGAGCCCGGCCGTCCCCTGACAACGCCGCAGTTACTTCCCCATGATTCTCGCGGACGGAACAATGAGTATCCGGAGAAACAATGGTACGAGGAAGCTGGTACAACGGACGAAATCGTAGCTTGTTAAGGAAATTTTAAGCGGACGATATCATATCGCTCCACTTTCCTCCCTTCTTTCCTCCAGATTGAAGAATTGCATATATAAATGTCGAGAAAAAGAGAGATATTTTATTTTTCTCAAAAACTTCACTCGTCATTATTTGTCGCAATTTGTTAAAATATGAAATTATATATCTCTTGTAATGAAGAAGAAACGTTTTTCAAATGTTAGACACATAAACTTGAACCTCATATTCAATTCTCCTCCCTAAAATTTATCTAGTCTAGTAGAATTAATTAATAAATTGCCAGTTCACAAATAACCATGATTTATTTATAATTACACAGTAAACAATTGTGCGTCCATATGTTAAAATTTTCTTACCACGTTTTGATTAGTACTTTAATGTAAAGTTAACATACAACCTAGGTTATTATTTTTATAATGTTTTCATGCGTTACATTTATGTCAACTTCATAACTTAACTAACCACTTTGTATATGTCTCTTAGAAATGGAATATTATTTTGAGTATTTTTATCATAATTATATTTTAAACAATCAACATGTCTCAAACTCAATTTAATATTCTAAAAAAAGTTGAAGTGAATCTTCAAATAATCTTGAACTTTGACATATAGAAATAATCGAATTTACTAAAATCAAATGTTTCTATTACAAACAATTTAAGCCAAAATAATTACCTTTAATGTCCTCAACATTTCTTACGAGTTATTGAAACTATTTTTTCATATAATTTTTAATTAATTTGTATGTTATTTTTACATTACACTTAAAGTCACAATAACAAAAATAAATGTAAAGTATTGTGTCAATTATTTAACATTTTTAATTTGTCAATAAATAACATAAAAGGAGGAATAGTATTTAACTTAAAATTTAGAGTGGATTTTCTGGGACGTGTAAAAAATGTAATTAACATTTTATTTTTTGCTGTGTATGTTTATGACAGTTCATCAAACAAAATGTGATATTTTAAGAAAAAATCCTTAGTACATAACTTTAATCATGAAGCAAAAATGTAACAAAATTTTGCGCAAAAATTGCTAAAATCGCGATCGAGACATAATGCATACATCAAGTATGCATTATGTATAATATATTGAAGGCGATATGCTTGTTGTATAAAATGCCGCGTACATTATATGTATAATGTTGCGAGTGGAGACGTATCGTCTGGGTTCGTATTGTTTACGGTGAACGGCGGCCGCAGCCAACAAGCAACTGGATGCTATACACGCATGTACGGAAAAATAATGTTGACCATTTCCATAAAGTTCATCTCGCGCTACACCACGCTCGCCTGCCAGAGAAGACGATACTGCCTGCCATCGCGGGACGCTATCTGAGTACAAACTCAAACTAGGGAGAAGGGCGAAACATAGAGGAGGAGGACGAGAGTCTGAAATAACAGTCGAGTGTACTCGACGATGTAGCGTACAGAGCGTGGAGAAACGCCTGCGCTATATCGTTTTTCCCATGTACCTGCCAAAAGTTTATCTCGAGTTACGAAGTGGGTAGGACGTCGTCGAAGAAAACTCATTGAGAAAGAGCGGAATCAAATGTCCCTCCCGCCCCAACTTTGCCCTCCCCACTTTAATCTCGTTCTCTCTTTTATTCTCTCAATCGCTTTAATTTTTCTCATTACGAGCGTGATATCATTTAAACGGATCGGCTTGCGATGATCGCTCGCTTGTCCGATAGTTTTGATTGCGGACTCCAATCGCGGCTAAATAAAGTTTTTAATAAAAGTAGATAAAAGAAATGGAACAGTTATATATGTCGTTACGAGAAAGCGTTATATAATTTATGTATTTTAATTTCTATTTTTTCATAATTTTTTTCTGTTTAAATTAATTTATGTTTGAGGTTTTTGCGAGAGCATTCGAAAAGAAGCCATTTACAACGCTGGTTTAAACGCGCTCGATAACAAAGAGACATTGTTGCAGCTCCTCTCGCCGAACTGAATTCGAACCGCGAACAACCGCTCGCCGGATGTTACGAGCCGAAGCATAATTGGCTAAATAAGCGCATAAGCCCGCGGCTTAACTTGCACTCAAGAACTCGTTTCGCATTTACGCGCTTCGCTCGCCGGGCTTGGCTCGCTCAGAGAGGGATTGGAAATTTCGGAATTTGCGGCACACGCTCGACGTATACAAGGTGTCCCGTTCCTCCATGAATTAATATGAAACTGATTTCCTTTCAACGATAATTTGATCGAATTGTGTTGCTTTCTCTGTTTCTCTCTCTCTCTCTTGCGAGTTTTGTCTAAATATTAAAATTCTTCCACGATGTGAGATACTCAATTGAAATTTAATCAAGGAAGTTTGTACACTTGTTTCGATTTATAAAACTGAACTCGCGTAATCTACGAAATTTTAAATTTTCCAATTATTTATAATCAAAGAGTCACGAGGTTTTTTTCAATACTATCGAGGACAACCGAGAAATTCGTGCACGGAGGAATTTGCAGGAAGCCCGGGACACCCTATTGATACCGCTTGGTCGAGACTACGGCGTCTCGTGCATTCGCGTACATATATCTGAAATTGGCGAAATTGACGTGCCTGGCACTTGGGGGCAGTGTAAATATTATGCATATCGCGGTACAAGCGAGGGGGGGGGGGAAGGACTATCGGTGTGGGCGAGGGGAATGCGCACCGGATGGATATCGACCGCCCTTCCTCGTTTCGACGACACCAGGGACCCGAAGTTCTCTGTCGGCACTTAAGTGCGCTAATAACCGGAGTGCTCTCTCGTTCCATTTGGGAATGCCGCTATTCCGCCCGACAAATAATATCCGCGTGCTCTTCCTTTTTCTCTCTACGTTTCTCTCGTAGCTTTTTTCTCCTTCTCTTCCTTCGGGTCATGCGAGGATATCGCGGGGCAACGGTATCGTTGCTATGTGTGAATGCTTGTTTCGGAGCAACGTGATTATTTTGGCAGTAGCGTTTTTCAGCCTTAGATCGTTGATAATTCCTTGTTATAAAAATTATACGAAACAAATTTATTTTTGAGTGTATTTCGCGAGCGGAAATTAGTTATCGAGTTTCATATGCGATAGGATACGATTATAATATTACCTGATTCGAGAATCCACCTGATTTCTCGTCGAAAACTAGAGATCTCATCGACTCCGAGGTGAGCACGTACTCGAAATGCACAGGTAACGACGCGATTTCTGTGCGGAAATGTCTGGTCTCGTCCTTCGTTTCCGCGGTCGACGATAGATATTGCAATAAACGCCTTTATCCTTAATTACCGCGCGGCATAACAGTAAAGACAAGAGTATAACGCGATAAACACGGAGTAAATGGCTCTACGACTCGAGAATTGAACACACTCAACGAAACGCGTAATCGCGAAAAAGTGTCCAGTTGGTAGTGTCTCTACGTAATTATATTAACGTTAGAAGTGCACGTTCCTGTGTACTTCAGTCAGAATTTAACCCTGATCTATATTTAGTTTCCTCCAGACGAGTAAAGTTGACACGTGCAAAAAATCTTACTATACATGTTTAAAAAAATTAAATTAAATAGTATAGAATTACTTGAAAAGATAAAAGGTAACGTGTAATTAAATCAATTACCTGTGAAAATTTTAAAAATAATACTTGTGCCTCATTATCCATATCGACGTGAGAAAAAGGAAACTCGTGTAACACGAGTATAGAATTGTCTCCGGTAAATCGACTTGGCATTAATTATGAGCATGTACATAGCTACAGTTTGAGAAAATGAAATTCACTGTTAATAAGTTCCGTATGCGGTAATTAAAGTCACGCCACTGCGGCGACGTGACGCGAATATATTATGAACATGCGAGTATAGTCCGGACTTTACCAGTATTATAAATGTATTATATAAAATTGAAGCTCGCAGCTCGTTACATAGATTAATTGAACGAGCATGGTTGTCTTTCATGTTTGGCTGTCACGAATATACATATCCTTTTTCGTAGCTGTTCCGGATTACATCATGCGCTCGTAAAAATCAAGGCAAGGAACAAACCGAATCCGGTTTATTCGTGCGGGATGGAAGCGCGCTCAGTCACGAGAGGTTGCGGTATTACCTGTAGAGATTTATTCTTTAACAATTCCATGCTTTATAATTCGACATTCAATTGGAAAAGAAACCAAAAAAATGGCCCATTTTGATATTGACT